AGTGTTAGTGTCACTGAGGAGTAATTTTGGAGTGATAATCAGTTGACGATTGATGCTTTGGTCTTTACACAGGGCTGTTACTCAGGACGCCTCCTTTTTCTGGATGGTGACGTTAGAAGGAGGGATTCCCTCACTAGGATTTAATCATCTGCCAGTTTGTTTTAGAACTGAACTCCTCAGGTCTTCACAGATCTGAAAAGGTCCAGGATCTTTCAGGCTCTCAAGTTTGAAGATTTGCAACTTTTTGTAACGACACATAATACTAAAAATAAAACAAAATGAAGAATAAGATCATTTAAAACACATAAACATACAGAAAGAGCATAAGAAAAACTAATGATTATGGCTTATGAACAGCTCCCCATTTACCTTGCAGAACAACCTTTAGCAGCATTAACTTTTAGTCTCTCACATAGCTGTGGAGGAATTTTGACCCACTCTTCTTTACGTCGCTGGAGGTTTACAGGCTTTGGTTTATGCACAGCTGTTCAATCAGGTTGGGGTCTGGATTTTGTCTCAGCCATTGCAACACCTTGATTCTTTTTTTTTCAACTACTCTATTGTAGATTTGCTGCTATGCTTGTTATCATTTTCCTGTTGTTGATCTGTCTGTTAGGCAGATGCACTGAGATTTTATTCTGGAATATTTATACAGAGGAGTTCATGCCTGACTTGGTGACTCCAAAGTTCCCAAAACAAGCCCGAATCATCAACCCTCCACCACCGTGTTTGACATCTGGTCTGAGGTATTTTCCAAATATGCCGCTGCGCATTATGGCAAAATGTCACCACCTTGTTTCAGAAGTCTTTTGGTTCGTTTAGATGCAACATTACAAAACTGTAACCATTCTATTTTCAATTATTTTCCATTTTATTTACAATTAGGAAAAGACATTCAGTCTTTTCCTAATTGTACTGTCATGAATTTCAATATTTAACATGCTAACTGAGGCCTGTAGAGTCTGAGATGCAGCTCTTGGACAATCATTCCTGTGAACACTGGCACCTATGTGCACTTTTTTTGTAACCACAGCTGACGTTTTAAGCCTCAGAAGCTAATGTTAGCTTCTTTTTCACAGTGCAAAATGTTTTAGTAAAATAGCCGAGCTCCTATTTTACACGAATATTAAGTTAAGCTCACCAACACTACTATACTCACATTAAAAGTTGGTGATATTTTTGAATGAATTCCTCTTCTATGTTTCAGTGCGCAAACGTGACAGGATTAGCTTCTTGTGTATCGTAGATGTTATTTTTACCTCGAAGACCTGCTGAAGCTCAGGGCCGATCTCCTGCTCCTCCCCCAGACCCTGTCGCACAGTCCAGTTGGGGGGAGGAAAGATGACTTTGTCTGGCCGAGAAACACTGCAAACGGCACAGTCACACTTTTATCTTGGCAAGAATGAAGGTTAAGAAAAATGATGTCATAGTTATGTGTCTAAAGTGAAGCCTCACCCCTGGAGAATGACATCAGCCATGGCAGAGACCTTCAGCTCATAAAACACCACTTCACTCTCAGAGTTATTTGCATTTTTACTAGAACAAACCACAAAAACGTAATGTTACTGAAACAGCCCTGATCACCTGATCAAGAAGCATTAAACAGCTTTACAAACCTGAATTTTGTAGACTTTTAGTGAAGCGAGCTGAGAAGTTATTAAACATATATATATATATAAAACTAACTTTGCAAATGCTACCAAAAAAACCCTACAAGACAAAATGAATCAAAAATATTTGGATAACACAGTAGGAACATGTATTTTCACATGAGGTATTATTTAACCAGTGGGAGTTTAAGTTATTTTGCACGCTAATATTTAAACATTCATCTCCCAGTTATACACAACATAAAGACCCCCACATTAGTAGATGCATTGCTGGTTTGGAGGAAGTAATTACTTAAGTTATTACAGAAAGATCAATCAGAGATAATGAGTCTAAATAAATATCAGTAGTACTAGAAGTAGCTGCTCATTATGAATCTTTTTTTTCTTTAATGGTTAAAATTTTACTTGTGAACAAAGTCATTTTAATTCAGATTAAAAGAGTATTTGGCTCAAGGAAGCTCTGACTAAATAAACCTGGGGTTGTTCTTGTTTTCAGCACTGAATCAGTGACAAATCGTAAGATGTCCTAGCTTTACAGAAGCTGTTTTCTAGTTGCTGGAGAAAATCTTGTTCACTTTCCACAGAAATAGAGCAACAAACTCTTTTTCCAAGCTAAAAAAAGATCTTTTAAATTAGCGGGATGCCATTTCCTCTCTAGCTTACAGGTTAACTACTTTTTCATATGGAGCCTTTATTTTTAGAGGAGCCAGAGTATCCAGGTCACTTTCCAGGTCCACAGTCCCTTTTTTTGGTAGGATGAGTAACATTTTTTTCTTGGCGTTCTTCCTCTTGTCTCAGTCAAAGGAGCTTGCAAAGAAAAGCGTCTGGACTTCTTTAAGTTGCTTGAAGACATTTCACCTCTCATCCGAGAGGCTTCTTCAGTTCTAAGGTCAAATGGTGGGGAGTCCCAGAGACCCACACCCAGTTTCACACCTTGGCTCAGGCGATTAGAGGATCATCAGGGGGTCCTTTTGTCCCACTGTGGGGGGAAACTCCCACTAGGTTTAAATCTGGGACTCTCCACCATTTGACCTTAGAACTGAAGAAACCCTTCAAGAAGCTTCTCGGATGAGAGGTGAAACGTCTTCAAGTAACTTATAGAAGTCCAGACGCTTTTCTTTGCAAGCTCCTTTGACTACAATGACCTGGATGACTGAGAACCTTCACAGTCCTCTTGTCTCAATGAAGCGTGTTTTGTCAGTTTCAGTTTGTTCTAATTGATAAGGGGATCGTATAAAATAATTGAACACAAATTGAATTTCCAAACTTAGTACAACTTTCAGTTCGAAAGACTAGATGTGGATCACCATCACCTTCTCAACATCAAAATGTTTACTGGTGTGATATCACTACAACGCAGCCACATTAACCGCGGTTCAGTCAGGATCACTAAAACAGGCTTTTTTCCATCTGCAGCGATTTAAATTAGATTAAGTCTGAAGTTGAAAGTCTTTATTGACACATTGTGTAATTTGTTTTGGTTTCAATGGAAATCCAAATTTCAACCCTTCCAAAAAAATCCTAGGAAGAACAGAGCAGGCATCGTGACAACAGCCTGTTAAAGAGGAGTTTTTCCTTCCCACTGTCGCCAAAGTGCTTGCTCATAGGGGGTCATATGACTCAGGATCAGGAGGGGTCATATGACTGTTGGGGACTGTATGTATTATTTACAATATGAAGCACCTTGAGGTGACTGTTGTTGTGATTTGGTGCTGTATAAATAAAACTGAACTGAATAGATCAAGGAGCTGGGGTTGAGGTACAGCAACGTTGAAAGCAGCTAAAGCAGCCTAATAGCATTCCCTAAAGAAGTCAGCTGGTGTGGACTGGCAATGACATCAGCTGAGGTTGACTTCAGCATGAGCTAGCACTAGTAGTATGTATGTTTAACTGCTCTGTTATTTCCTGAGGGGTTTCAGATGGATGTGCATATTTGATTTGGCACAGATTTTACACTGGATACCATTCCCAGCATAACCCTCCCATTTATCTGAGCTTCAGAGCAGCACTGAGAGTACACTGATCCATGAAGTGGCTTTGTGACTCCTGTTCGTACTACCAGAATCAAACCGAGGATCATTATGCAAATGTGTTAACCACTACACCACAGAATCACAATAACAGTAGGTTTTTTTATGATGACAGATTTACTTGGTTGCCCTAAATAATTTTTTGTTTAAAAAAACTGAATGTAGCTTATAATAAGAATTAAGAGAATACTTTGGATTAAAAGCTGCTCCACTGGTATGCAGTTACCAAGGATACCCCATCCCACTTGAACTGGCCTACCTTCGTATCTGGAGCTCAAACTGAACAGTATTGTAAGTATCGTTGAGTCTGGGGATGGTGAAGCGAAGACCGGCCCACAGCTACAAAATCAGCCACAGAAAATTCACTCAGTTATTTCAGGGAATATGAGAAAGGAAATAAATGTGTTAAATAGAGTCTGGGTTCTTTTTCTCAGAGACGCCCACTTTGGAAAGAAGGAATGAAAACTCTTTCAACACAAAAGCAATGTTTATCAGGTTTTATCAGGTCGGTGAGAAAACATGTCGAGTTTGCTTGTGTATGAATTATGCAAGTCAACTTGGCTTAATTGTACTGAGACACAAAGAGTGGGAAAGGCCAAAAATAACATGTGGGTCTTATTGGCTCTTACACTGGTACCAGACTTCATGGGGTTTCCCAGATCACACACGAGATAGCGGGTCTGGTTTTCTGCCTCGTAGCTGCAGGTCAGCTGAGTCAAGCTCTGGAAAGGACACAAAGAAACAAAACTCCATCATGTATTTAACTTTATTAAGTGTACTGCTGTAAAAGCTAAAGAGTTGTTGTCTTGGTGCATGCTCAACTATCCAGGTAAGGAAAGAAGTTGATTCATCTGGACGTAGCGTTTTCAGTGGGAGAAACGTTTCGTCACTCAGCCAAGTGACTTCTTCAGTCTCACGAGTTGTTAGAATAATAAATCAAAACTCTGACTAGAGTTACAGTGTGACTCTACCAACCAGCTGCATTTCAGGGCTTTCAAAAAATGTTTTCAAAATGTATTCACGTTCTTTCACGGCTTTAACTCAACAAGGAGGGCGTCAGGTTGAGAAAACTCTTTTAGCGGAACATTACGATGGCAAAGTGACCTTTGACTTTATGCAAAGTCAAAATCATTTCCACATTTTATTAGCGTTGAAGCATTTTTATGCATAATTATCATTTGAATGAAAAAACACGGTGCTTCTGACCGTGATACTTAAACCTCCTTTTAAACGCCACCGACTCACCACGTTGTTGCGTGCTATCCCGCTGTAGTC